TTTGCACTTCCCAGGCACCGTAGACTACTGGCCAAGTAAGAACAAAATCCAAGTCAATGCTGAAGTTACTCCTGTCCATGTTTTTCTATCCTCCTGCGTGGAAAGTGGCGCCGCATGACGTCACACATAAACAGGAAATAACGATAGTGAGCGGTGCTGTGGAGAAAGAATTAAGAAATCACGTCCTGTCGGATTTAAAATATTAACACACAAATACAATGTAAAGCTATCAGTAACAGTTAAGACGGACGAAGTCTGAGTTTAGTCCCAGTACGACGTGTCGTTTTCCCAGCTCCAGGAAATCAGCAGGCTCAATGGTCCAGAATGGCACAGACCAGGTCCTGCGGCACGTCAAACCTGTGAGTCACGCTTTGTGCTAAGAAAGACTTAAGTACAATAACTAGAGTCAGTTATCCGCAAAAACAAACATGACGAGGTCATATTTGTTAGGATAAGACCATATGTCATTTATGTTTATTTATCCCAAAGTTGTGAAATTCAAATACAGCTGTCATAAGTGTATGTGCGTGTGTGTGAAAACCTAGATGAATATGGAAATGCGCAGTAGTTTATACAGAACCATTTTCCTTGTTTTAGTTTTATATTGTTTTAAATGCAGGGGAAACGTGCTGCTATTGTACTGAAGGGTTAAAGTACCAAATAATCATAAACAGCCAAAATAAATAAATATCTGCTTACACCTATGAGTGATCTTGAAAGCTCATTTATATTTTACAGGCTGGGCCCCAATCATTATGACGTTCAAATATTTTGATGAAAAATCACTCCATGTTTATTAGCTGGCAGATGTTCAGCATCTTCTATGATTGCAGAGAAGTTTTATGAGAACTTTTCTTTTCCCCTGAATAAATAGTTACCAACCCATATTATTTTTTCTTTAATTTTTTCCTGTACCAGGTGAGCTGGTCACGCTGCTACACTGCAGGGAAAGATGAGTACTGTTCATCAATCATGAAATTCCAAGTTTGTAAAAGAAAGGTCCGCACATGCCTTCCATGGTATGGCTGCATCTTCCTATTCTTGGTCGTGTTTGGCTTAAGCTTCGTGATCCTCCAGGAGGTGAGGAATTGTTCTTTCATTCATTTATACATCTTTTCTCTTACGCTTGTCCAATTCAGGGTCATGAGGGCTGTCCCAGCTGTCTTTGGGAAGGAGGCAGGGTGCACCTTGCACATAGAGACAGACAACTATTCACACTCACATTCGCACCTATGGACAATTTAGAATCACCAGTTAACCTAACCCCACTAATTGCATGTCACTTTATTCATTTATCTGGGACTTAAATCATTTTAGGCAGTGAGATAAGGTTCAATGAACTGTATTTTTAGAATAGTTTCATTTAATTACAGGCACTGTTTTTGTTTTGTTTTTTTTACATTTCAAAATTAGCAGTGTAGTTTTCTTGCCAATGGATTCTGTATTTAACTGGGATGTTGTAAATATCACCAGCAGACATGATGGCGAAGGATTGATCTGTGAACTCTATCTATGTGGCAAATGAATGTCTACCTGTGCTAACCAAGAAGCATTGTAAACAGGTGTATTTATCTTATTTCCTCTAGTCCTGATACGAGAGTAATTCTTTCACCTAGCATGTAACAAATAAATCTAAACCAATTTAAAAAGTGATTGGTGATTATACCCCCACATTCCATACATTACACACCTCTCCAGACGTCCCACAGTCACTGTGAGTGGAAACACATGTAAAAAATGTTTGTACAAAATGACCTTGGGCACCTTAAATAGCAACATAATGGCTTCTTACACAAAAAATACCATTTCTAATCTGACAACTTAAATATAAACTTTGAAAAAAGTAACAAAATAGGAGTATATTTCACAAATAATTCTTTTAAATATTGTTTCAGGAAAAATGTTTAAAATCCACAGTATACTACTAAAATTTTTCAAATCTATTACAATCGACTGTGCTGTTCTCATTGTCAAATGCAAATTCTTTTTCATTATGTGTATTTCGTCCTATATGATAGGGCAGGTCTAGAAGTTACTCCATAGTCATTTGCAATTACACTGTAAGGAGGGGAAGTCTTATTTCCTGTTTACCCATTGGTAAAACTAAATAGCTACACTAACTGAGCAAAAGAATGAGAAACAATATACAGAATCTTCAAGTTTTATTTGTTTTGTCCCTTTTACCAGGACAAGGTAACTCCATAAACCTTTTTTTTAGGTTTGCTCCCTTATGAATGAGGAGACACGCTGAAGCTCACTCACCAGATAGCTTCCAACTCTCTTTACTTGTAAGCACAATCAATGAAGAGCAGTTACAACCCACTCTCTGAATAATGATTTGTATTCACAATGTAAGAAGAGAAGGTTAACATGCTCCATAATATAGGCTGCATCAAAAATATTGTGTAGTTAAAATGTGCAAACATCATTGTTTCTTTGTTGTTTTGTTGAAAAACAACAAAAATCTATCTAGTACGACCATCTTTTTTTTTTTAACTACTCAGAAGGTACTCATTAGTTTAAAAAAAATAGATGAAGTATCCATCCATGTAATTTGAAAGTTTTGTCATAATTTCTTTCTCTTGCAGTGTATTTTTAATCTTTACTGTAAAAATCCAGGTCAAAAGAAAATTAAACCATGAGTCACGGGCAAGCAACATGAATTACTATGTGTTAATAGACCTCTCTGCATTTGTTATTAATCTCTGTCTTCCTTCTCTCTCCGCAACCGGTCGCGGCAGATAGCCGGCCCTCCCTGACCCTGGTTCTGCCGGAGGTTTCTTCCTGTTAAAAGGGAGTTTTTCCTTCCCACTGTCGCCAAAGTGCTGCTCATAGGGGGTCATACGATTGTTGGGTTTTTCTCTATAAGTATTATTGTAGGATCGATCTTACAATATAAAGCGCTTTGTTTGTATAGCGACTTTTGTATTGATTTTGTGCTGTATAAATAAAATTCAATTGAATTGACCGTGGACCACAAATTACGCCCTTGGAACTGTTCTGTAGGATGGATGTCTGGAAAGATGGCTGGCTTTGTTGCCTCATTGTCCTAAATAGAGCCAACATTGTGATAAATCATCTCTTTCTGTCAGTTTAATGTTAATGTTCACCCAGACAAACCTGAAGTAACTCAGATATTGGAACAAGCTCGGGTTTAGTGCACTCATTTGTATTTGACATCTTCACTGAATAGTTTATTCATTTTACTGAAGATCAAGCAGATGTGGATCATTAGACATTTGTATTAGCACAAATAAGACATGAAAGTAGGAAATACAATTTCAAGAGAAACGTTTTATTGTAATTTGTTAACTGCTGGCCATTTATTTGATGGATTTTTGTGTCTGCTGTGCTCTCTCTCTGTTTCCCATTTTCAGAATACTGTGAAATCTACCATCCATAGCTCATACGCAGACAAACATTATGACTTCTGCAAATTCCAACCACTGTCCCTTAAGGAGACTCGAGAAGAACACCTCCTATTAAAGTCCATCGCTTGGCCTGAAACTCCACCTTTACCATTTCCTCATTACCTGAGCAAGACCAGTGATCCCTCACACAGCAGCTTCACCATTCTCTCAGGGAGGGAAGACGGAGAGTGGCACAAAGATGATAACCTGGAGATTCTGATCAAAATGTACGACTTCCAGGGGCTTCCAAAGAAATTTGGGGGAGACGTTTTACTTGCCCGGCTCCATAACCCGACTCTTGGTGCAGGTGTGGTAGGGCAAGTGGTGGATCATCTCAATGGCTCCTATTCTGCTGTGTTCTATTTACCCTGGGAAGGAAACGCAGAGGTTGAGGTGATGCTAAAACTGAATTTCAATGTGATCATGGTCTTTCAGTCAACCTTCCTTTTTAATACAATATGATCTTCAGACAAAGGTAGGATTCTCATTTCAAGATAGTAGACTAAACAAGACACAGGTGCAAATGATTAAAATAAGGATAGGGAAGTAAAATTCAGACACAGGAGACAACTTTCAAAGTAAAACACAGAAATGGTAACAGAATCTAACCAATCAGAACACAATTCACACTTGACATAAAATGAAGTAAATCTGAAAGCCATGCTATAAACACTGAAAGAAAAGGTTTCAGGTCCTAAAAGGACATGGAAGTTGGCTCTAATTTGGCACTTGTCACGTTTAACTTTAAACTTTGTTAAAACTTCAACTGCACCCAGTCAAAAAGCCACACTCTAAAGCCGAGACCACATTTTTGTGCATGACTCTTACTGCAACCAACTTTAAGCATCAATATTATGCGATACATCATACAACCTCACTTCCAAAAATGTATGGACGTAGTGATTTGCAAATATCATAAATCAGGATTTTCTTCATAATAAAACAATATAACAAGTTTAAACTGAGAAAATGTCCTGCTGTAAGGAGAAAAAATGTCATTTTGAATTTAATGGCAGCAATACATGTTGAAAAAGTTAGAACTGGGTTGTGTTTACCACTGTGTGCCATCTCTTCTTCTTTTAACAACTAAGGAAACCAAATTTTGTATCATCCTCACTTGATATAGGATTCTAGTGGCTTAACAGGCCTCATTTTATTTTCCTAATGTTGGTCAAAGGTCTGGACTGTAGGTAGCCCAATTAAGCAGTATGTGACTCTTCTACTATGAAGCCATGGTGTTGCAAAAGATGCACTGTTTGCTTTTGCATTCTCTTTCTGAAACATGAAAGTCTTCCCATGAAAATGGCACCATCTAGATGGGAGCATATATTCCTCTAAAACCTGTAGAAGAACGGATCCTCCCACCAAGCACTGATGATGCTTTTCTACATGTGCAAGCTGCCAGTTCCAATAGCATTAATGTGGTGCGCCTGACATCAGAGAAGCAGGCTTTTGAACGGAGTGCTACTAACATGTTTCCTTTCCTCTTTATTAGAATTTCAATTCATGTGACCACAGAACAGTTTTTTCCACTTTGTCTTAATCCAAATGACCTTAGCCCAGAGATGATAGTGGTGTTTCTTTATCATGTTCACATGTTGCGTCTTCTTTTCATGATAGCGGTTTAACCTGCACTTGTAAATTGCATGGTGAACTGTGTTCACAGAGTGATTTCTGGGAGTGTTCCTGGGGTCACACAGTGATTTCCATGACAGAGTTATGCATGCTGTCTGTAAGCCTGAAGGTCACAGCTATCTAATATTTTTTCCCCTTATCCCATGCTTACAGAGATTTCTCCAAGATGCTTGATGATATTATATATCGTAGGTGATGAAATATGCTAAGTGTTTTCAATCCTACATTTTGGAGCATCGTTCTGAAATTGTTCCACAATTTGTAATTTTTGCATATTTTCTTTTATTCAAAGAAACTGGGCCTCTCTGAAATGTTCTTTATTCCCAAATATGTTACTACCATGTTGCCCATTAACCTAATTACTGCCAAATATTCCTCCAACTGTGTTTTAGTAGAGCTCACTTTTCCACCCTTTTCTTTCCATTATCCCAATTTTTTTTGAGATGCTGCCATCAAATCCAAATTGAACTTCTATTTCTTAGAAAATAGTCAAATCTTCAAACTTCTAAAAGTATGTTTAAAATGAACAAAGAAAAAAATGTATATATATATATAAAATGTATTGCTGTTCCCTTAAAGATAAATACTCAGAGAGTGCGCTGGTGTGGTAGCAGTTTGCACTCTTGGAGTGCTTCTTTTGCTTGTTGATTTCTAAAGCAACTAAAACCATATTAATACTGATAAGACGACCACTATACATCTATATACATGATGTCTAAAAGTGTGGTTTGCATATTTAACTTCAACCATTTGTCATTCTTTGTCCTCCCAGGTAACACTGGTTCACCCCAGTGAGGCAATCACAGTGCTGCGCAGTCTGACCAGAAAACACCCTGACAGGATTTACTTCAAGAGCCTCTTCCGCTCAGGCTACATCAATGAAACTACTGTCTGTAACGTATGTTTGCGTCCAACCCAGCAGCCTGTGTGCAACTACACTGACCTCAGTACAGGCGAGCCGTGGTTCTGCTACAAGCCAAAGAATCTGAGTTGTGATACCAGGATCAATCACTCCAAAGGAAAGCTTAAAAAAAACCTCGTGACCACAGAGACCCTTTTTCAAAGGTGTGTATATGCCACATTATCTGTGTGACTAAATGGGGAATTTCTAAAGTCGAGGCAAAAAGTGACTGACACAAAAAAAGCAGTCACACTTGATGATTTTGAGGCTTTTATTCCAAAAAGCTAATTATTTACACTCAGATATGAAGCAAACGTTGTCTGTACTTGTGTTAATGGTAAATGGGCAAAAAAAGGGTATTTTTGTTTTGTTCTCTGCAATCTAAATCATTTTGTTGTGTGTGCTTTGACTCAGTGATGTCAACATGAAAGTCTCCATTCCAGCTTCAGGACCTTCCTGTGTCACTGTTTTGCCAAAAACTAAAGGTAAATTACAATTTTTTCCAATTTTTTACATTTTATTTAGTAGTATGGAGTAAGCTAAAAGTTTTTGGATGCGATGTTAGTGTTCATGTGGAGAGATAAGAAGTTTTTTTCAGTGCTCCTTCAGAAGCTTGACTGCTACACATGGATCACTCCCTGGAAGCCATGTTCTGTGCCCTTGCAGTGCTGGGTCTTCGTAACTGTGTCAAAACACAACTTGTCTTGATCTCACAATTTTCTTTGCACTGTGTGTGGGCCCACAGTTGTGTGCTGATATATACTACATGTTCAGTTTCCAGTGGATATACTCAGACTTCCCAGAATGTTACAGTACAGCTGTCCTTCAGGAATTCACCTGCACAAACCTGTAAATGTCAAACAGTGACTACAGTTCCAGTTGATCTCCCACTGGATGTGCTCTCTGCACAAATTTAAGGTCCAAACTTAAATGCAAGTGATTATAACAGGACCTTCCAGATGCAATTTAAAAGTAGCTGCAACAGAAGAGTGTCATAAATGAACCATGAGCAAGAGATAAGGTTTTTGGTTTTTCTGACTGGTTTCCAAAATCTTTTGATCACAACACAAGCTGCACTTAGCAGATAAAATGCTGAATGAAGTGCACCCTCTCTCTTTAATCTTCAGTTTGAGGCAAGTTTTCAACATCCACATATGTGGTGAGTTGTAAGGTTTACAATCAAGACAGATTATGATACGTTCAAAGCTGCCATGATTTCATGTAGATGGCCACAGGGTTAAACTGTTCCAAAACGGATACAGTGGTGTGAAGTCTTGCATCTGTAGTATGATGGCTTTTTTTCTCTGGAATTTGCTTAACTTACGCATGATTGCCACAGTAAGATTAGACTTATCAGCTGGTTAAAAATATACTATTATTTATTTTTTAACGTCTTCTCAGGTTGGTCCATGGTGAGTAGGCGCACTGTGAAGTCTAGACCCTCTGGGTATTATTTCCACGGTGTGTGGCGAGCATTACGTGGTCCCAGAGTTCCTCACTTCAACACTTCCTCAGCTATCACTCAGTGTCTGAAAGGAAAGGTGGTTCATATATACGGAGACTCCACCGTCAGGCAGTGGTTTGAATACTTTAACGCAACACTACCAGGTAGCTGCTCCACAAACCTCTCTGGCAACAATTTGATTTTTTTCACAGTGAAACTTAAATCATTCTCTCTGTATTATTTTCAGATCTTAAGGAGTTTAACCTGCATAGCCAGAAAAAAATTGGACCTTATATGGCTCTAGACTATGTGAACAACATCTTGGTGACATACCGCTGCCATGGTCCTCCTATCAGGTTTTCCAAAGTCCCAATCAGCGAGTTGCGCTATATTGCCAACGAATTAGACAGCTTGACTGGAGGCAGTGATACCGTCGTAGTTCTTGGCATTTGGTCGCACTTCAGCACTTTCCCCATTGAGGTCTACATCCGGCGTTTGCAGAGCATCCGCAGGGCGGTGGTGCGGCTGCTGTCCAGAGCTCCAGATACACTGGTTGTCATTCGGACTGCAAACCCAAAAAATCTGACGCTCTATGAGACAATCACTAACAGCGACTGGTACTCGCTGCAGCGTGACAAGGTGCTCAGGGCCATGTTCAAAGGACTGAATGTCCATCTGGTGGATGCTTGGGAGATGGTCGTGGCCCACAACCTGCCACATGAACTCCACCCACAGCCTCCAATAATTGAAAACATGATTAATGTTCTCTTGTCCTACATATGCCCTAAAAAAGGTGGCTAGATGTGATTGTTTTTCAGCAGCCCATGCACACACACATTTATTCCTTGCTTATTTATAACAAAGAAATACAGACTGAGTTGAGTCTAATGCATGATAAATAGTAATGAATAATTAAACTGAGCCTTTGGATTTTCATGCAACAATCCAGGAAATACTGGAACTCCTTATCTGACACACAAGCAGGATTTACATAAGGGAATATTGCCTCATACGGGCTCATTCCAATGAACCAATCTATGAGACTCTATGAATGTTTTATTGACAGTAGGTTGTAATTCAAAGTCACTTGTTGAGTAGTTTACTCATTACCACAAAAGTAGTAAGCTTCACTATGCTGCCTTGCTTCCAAAGAAAATGTGTTTCGCCACAGTCATCTTTTCAGTGCAACTTTTATTGTGTTTTCTGCAGCAAATCAAATAACACAAAAAGGCAAAATAAAAATGTAAAAAGGGGTAACATTGAGCAAAGTTAGAAATAATTCAAATGTTTGCCATAGATATGTATTCAGGTGGACATAAAAATACCGAAATTAATGCTACTAAGAAGGGACATAAGATGGGATATAACATCTCAAAATAGTCACTGATTGTTAATTTAATAATGCTAAACATTACTTTATAAAATATGTAAACCCTGTAAAATGACGTCAGATTTTACACAACACTGCCAGTGAATTTGCATCTATTTCTAGAGTACTGTTGGGAGCATTAATCTGACTGACTTCTCAGGTATTACCTCTAGAGTTAAGTGTTTACTAGAAATATCACAAGACATGTGAATGTATTTTCTGGATTCATGAAAGGACAAAAAAAAGAAAAATGTTCTCCAGCTGAATGAAAAGAAAAAGGAAGTCCTTGTCTTATCCCGTGACAGATTAAGTTAATGACAACTTAGGTTCTCTTGCCACATTTGCTAAATCTTCTATCAGGAACCTTGGTGTAACGTTTGACTCTGTCTTCACTGTCAATGCTTGCGTTAAATCTCTGGTTTGTTCTTATTTCTGTTACTTGGATCACCAGGTTGAGTTCTACTGTGTCAGGCTTTGGATTGATATTTGTTATTTATGCCTTTATTTTATCACATCTGGATTACTGTAAATTCATTGTTTACTGGTTTTAATAAAGCATTCTTGGAATGCCTGCAGGTTGTTCAGAACGCTACGCTACATTAACCCAGGTGCACTGATTCTCCATCAACTTCAGATTCCACTTTAAGATTATGTTTTGTTTTTTACTTGTAGAGCTCCGCATGCACAAACATCCACTTTTCCAGCACCAGCTCCAGACCCCGAAACTCTATGACGCTGTGATCTCTTTTAAAAAGCAACTAAAACCTCATCTTTTTAAACTTGCTTCTGGATAACCTTTTTGTTTTTATGTTGTTGCATTTTTGTTGTGTTGTTTGTAATATTTATCTTGAGAGGTGCTAAATAAATAACATTTATGACTAAATATAATGTAATTTAAACATAAGACTGTTGTAGATTAAAGTATTGTTTAAAACTGGTTTATGTTTTTAGTTACAGTTTTATTATGTTGGAAAAAGAATTATTTTTTGTTATTGGTTATTCAAACTACTTACAATTCAATAAAATGTTATTTATATACCAAAGTGACCAATAACAGGACACTTTATATGATAAGAGACAGATATCAGAAACAGAGCCTCAACATCAGATGAATTATGCTAAGGACAATTTAGAGAAAGATTATTTATACCAAAAGCATGACCTGTGGTCAGATGAGACTAAACTAGGTCTATTTGGGTAAAGAGATACTGCTCATGTTTGAAGAATGAATCCATCCACAACCCAAAGAATACCGTCCCCAGAGTAAATATGAAAAAAAGATATGAATAATGAAAAAAGATATGAGAAGATTTTGAAAGTAGTCAGCAGCAAAACTTGGGTTCTCGTGTTGTCTTTCAACACGACAATGTCCAAAAATATACGTTGGCATTCTGGTCTGCACATAGCCCTCACTTGAATCCCATTCTCAGGGGTGAAGACCAAGAACCATGCCAGAAGATGGTCAAATCTGGAGAAGTTTAAGAGATTTGGTCTAGGACTGCTCAGGTGGTGCATGTGAGACTTGTTGAAAAATACAAAAAAAAGGACTGCTGGCTGTTATCCAGCAAAAAGGATTTTCAACACAATTACTGGCAACAGAGGGGCTAATAATGTTGACTCTGGCATATTTTAGTTGTTGTAAAATTATTTTTAATACATAAAAAGAGAGGGTAAGCAGTGCTTTAACAGGAAGAGACCTCGGGTAGAACTTGATTATCTGGAAGGCATGTTTTTCAGTTTAGTACAGAAATGACTAAGCATTAACAAAACACTGATTTTCATGCTTTTAGCATTGTATTTTACATATCTCCTTCACAGTTACTTTTCTTAAAAGCTTTGTTGAAAGTTTTTTGCAGAATAAAAATCAGCACTTGATAATTTGAGGAGGTTCCTTTCACACCGACTTGATCATCATTCTTGTGGCCTTGGCTGAGTATGGTGCAGGTGGTTTCCAGGTGCGCCAGTGGAGGCCCGAAGCCCAACCTATGTGTTCACCGTAGGAATGCCAGTCACCGTTTAGATTGGCGGACCCACACTTGCTGTACCACCACCCGCCACCCTCTCTAAAGGTACATGCTATCTCAGCAATGTCACCAAAGATGCAGGGGGAGCAGCCATCATTATCGCGGTCAACTGTGCTAAAGCCATAGCCATTCTGATCAATGCCTTTATAGGCACCACGGATGGCATCACCTTTGGATAGAGGGGGAAACAAATCAGGAAAAATGAATTTCTAAAATTCACAGGGTTTCTTTAAAGTACAAAAAAAGAACAATATCTAACACCTGATTGCATTAACAAACAGCGAATAACATTTATGTGTATATGAGAAGCAAAAGAAATATGGCAACAGTAAAAACTTCAATAGGCTTCAGTACCTGCATTTCCACGGAACTTCCCAACATGTAGTTTGAACGCAGTTTTCTCATTTCCCAGTCTAAAGTTTTTGTACTCAGCGAAAGCAGTCCCATCTTCATGATCCCACAGATCCACCCTCATTGTCCACTTCTTGGACTTGTCCTTGGTAAGATAAAAAATCTTTTTCAGCCCGAGCCAGTGGTCCTCTGAGAGTCAAAGCACAAAGAAATAAATGGTAAATGGCCTGTATTTGTATAGTGCTTTACTTAGTCCCTAAGGACCCCAAAGCGCTTTATACTACATTACACTACAAAGAAAAGATTTAATATTTTTATGTTAGATCCATTCTTGATCTCTAGGATTATATATCACTACATCATAATGATAATCATTGTAAGTAATTTATTTACGTGTCAGGTTTCCAAAGCCAGTTTTATATGCTGCCCATTTTCTGCGGAAAGAAACGGCTCCTCCGCTTCGTTTTTGAAACACCGTCCAGCCTCCATCTGGATGCATCTCACAGTAAACCTGAGTAAGAAGTTCATTCACCACATATTAAGAAATCCAGCTGGCATTTACTTCTACTTTTTATCTAAGGAGCAAGAAACATTTTAGAATATGGCCTACAAGTAGTGGAGTAATTCACCTGTAATAAATGGAAATTCAATATTTTATTTGAAATTACAATCTAATCATACTAACCTATGAATACTTAAAAGTAGGTACACTACAATAACTCGGGTTTTTACAGGAAACAAAGAAATTATTATATTGTATGTTAAGTACAGTGTAAGTAATTTTAGCTAGTGTAAAATGTCATGGTCATTTTGCAGAAAAATAAATATTTATGTATCTTACATCCATTTAGATAAGGGGAAATTACACCCTTGGTCAGGGCTATATTATCGAGTATATAACCAGAAGCTCAGTGTGCTTTTTGTTTAACATTATTGTTAACTTAATAGTTATGAATATAAAGTAAACTGTATCCTGTTATCTATAACCAAATGAAACCTTGTTCTGGTGAAATCATTTGATAGATAAATTGCATTTATAGTTTACAGTGCTGCTTTTGTTTGCTGCGATCTTATAAACATGACTTTGTTATTATTTCTCAGCTCGATCGATACCTTAAACTTGGTCGCGGCTCCATTTGGCTGGATCGTATAAACGCCACTGGATGCTCGTGGTGACAGAGTCTTAATCTGTGTGCAGTCTGTTCCTGAGGCGTACACCATAACAGAAAGAAACACAATAAGAAGCGGAAGAATAAGACTGAAATAGTATACTTATCTGAGTAATAACAAACAAGATGATCCATACCTTGAGGAGAACCTGCTTTGTCCTTTCTCTAGCAATACAAAGAAACAGTTTTAAAGTGAGTCTTAACTTCGTTTAAATATCCATCTTAAATGCTGATAATACAGAAGCAGACAGACCAAGTAGGGAAAGAATTTTAAAGCTCTTACTTTTACACCGGCCTGTTCTGTGCAGCTCGAAAGAAATGCCAGGATGAGTCCACAATACACAACCAGACTCTTCATTTTGACCTGTGTTTAAAACAGACAAGACTGTAAACAGTGTTTAGTCCGATGAAAATTGCTGGTAACTCTGCTCTCAGAAGATGACTGGCTGCTCAGAGTAACTCTGTCCTGTTCATTACTGCTGCAGTAATAGTCAACAGTTTTTTCTCCAAACACATACCTGCGTGTTAGGTGAACCTTAAACCCCGTCTCAAGATTAACAACAGCAGCAGTCCCTTTATCCAATAGCTTAACTACCACACCCCCTTCACTGCTATGACAAGCACGTCACTTCCTACCTTAGGTCAGTGTGAGTGTGACAACTTAAATCTGAACAACTGACGCAGTCATCCAACATGAATGACTGCATTTCTCAGGTCATTTCTCAGACCTCTCTGTCTACACCTCTCTCTAACATTCCAACAAGGGTGTGTAGAGGTCTGAGTAGTTCTAGTTGCACAACAATAAAGCCAATGTTTGTGGAAGCCAGTTACAGACATTCTCTTTTTATTGACTCGGATAGCAAGGGATGTTTACAATTGCTCCTTTGGCGTCTGTAGTTAGAAAAATTACGTTTCCCTTAAATCTAAATTTCTCTTCAGATATTGTTATTCCCCAGAGACTCTGCTCAGTCATTTCTTCTTATTCTTGAAGATGATAAATTTGATGTAGATATGAAACTGAAAGAATAAATTCTAACTACTTTTAAGCAATTGCCTAACTTTTTATTTAATGGCTCCACCAGATGAAATGTTTTAACCATTTAAGCATGGCACCAAATTTTCCAGTTATTTATGGTTTGTAATAGTTTCAGTGATCGCCAGGTGTCCCATGAGACGTGTAGTTTTAAGTAAAATGTTTTTGCAACTTTTAACTTCAACTTTTTACTATGAAACACAGAGGTGCCACAGTTCTCAAATCAAACTCTGGAAGTTGATCAAAAAATGATTTATGTCTCATTTTTCCAAATGTTTACAGTAACTTTGGATAAAGCACTTGGAAGATGCTCCACATTTCCCATGTGTATCTGTGATAATGTCTATATGCACTCTAGCAGGATGATCTTTGTGGTTGTTATGCTACAATCACAGTAGGAAAAACAGTGGTTGGAGAATGCAACACAACCAAAATTACTGTGTATGGTGCGCAATGAACTTGGTTGTTTCGAGTGATTGTTTCAAAGACGGGGCCAGCATGACGCACAGGGTGACGGCCGAGGGAGTTGCATGCTTAATCTCTGGGTGACCTTGGTTAGAACAACTACTTCCAACGGGCTTTTGACAGCAAAGAAATTGCAATTTTTTCTAGGGAGGTTGCGATCTACTCCGGTGTGACTGAGCCATTAAATACAAAAAAGCTAGACTGTGGTGAGTAGAGCAGACAATAATAGCAATTAAGTATGTTATTGTGTGTACCCAATAGGGTAAGCACGAACATGCATGAAGATTGTCACACATACAGCGATTATCAACAGCTATACATATAATTCTTTTGATTTTCATATTTATCATCCCCCTGTGAATGCAATGTTATTTGTTTCCACAATGGAATTTTCACCACTAAATAGGGAATGAAGAAATTGAAAAAGTGCTGCAGGCCTACTAGTAATGCTAAATAACTAAATGCTGCTACTCTGTAACGTAACTCCCGTCTGCAACATGTATTTATTTTGCTTACTTTGACATTTAACATTCGCTAACTTGGTGTACCTATTTCTACTGGTCATGTCATCGAGTCAAGTGCTGACTTGGAGTCAAAATTGGGACCAGTCATTGGTTGGGAGCAATGGGACATCTGCAAAAGGGATGTTTAGTGCAGCTATCAAGTTGAAAGCTAGCAGTTACAGTATTAACATTTTATAACCTGTTACCTTGGTCTTGAATATTATTAATGGAATGAACATGGTTTCTGCCATTTTTATGGTCATTTTTTTTTACCTCTTCTTTTGTGGCAAACTAGTAATGGAGTGGGCTCATTGGAGGGTGAAAAGAGGTATCTTTTTTAGTTAACTGATGAAAGCCTTGTGTAACAGAGATGACTGTTAAGCTGTGAATGCTAAGTTATGAAATTTGGGCATGTGCTATGGTACTAAAGTTTATCCAATTTATTGTAAATCTATTGTGTGATATGTGTAATGTGGTGTATTTTCCAGTTGTTTAATGATTCAAAAGCTGTATATTTTAATTATATAAAACTCAAAGTAGCCAGTTCGGGCCCAAGCACATAACTTTAATCATCTGCAGTGGAATTATCACATTCCTTCTATCAGATAAAAAGTAAAAACTTAATAGTGAATGCTGAATAAATACTGAACAGTAAAGGAATTTAAGGAATTCTAATTTATAAAAGGAGATGTTTTAATTGAATAATATTAACATGTATTATATACATATACTTATTAAATCCTGTTATTATATTTTCTCATTAACATTAAGTCTCTGGTACCAGCAGCCAAAGAGAAGGACAAGTTGCCCCCTCCAAATGCTAAACAATGCTAAAACGGTTGAGAATTCCGCACAATTATGACCAACTGTCACCAACATGATTATCACTATTGTTTTCATCAGCAGTGAGTTTGGAATTATTTGCCACAATTATTCATCGGTTTTAGTGACAAAAATATTTTTAATGCACTGCCATCTACACCAAACACTGCTTTCGCATTTTCTCATTTGTACAAATATTTACATCCAAGTAAAACTGGTCTTCCTCCTTTGCTTTAATTCAGTGCATCTCTTATCAGAAAAATAAAAAATTTACACCAAAACTTAAAGAAATTACATCAACAGGGCATTGCCTTCCCTTTTACATTGTCCTACATTCCTGCTAATTAAAATTTCTTTGCAGGAAATGTGTTTAGTATAAGTCCTTCACTACATGCATTGTAGGGGGGCATGGTATGAAAAGGGGAAAAAAAACACACAAGAAAAATGCTTGGACACTGCTAGCATGGGCGCCCACACAAAGGCAAAGCAGGAGATGAAGCATAGCTGAATATGTTTCCAAACCAACTTCATTCTAAGTCAAAGACTAGAAAATATGGTGAAGCATATCTTCCCTTTGGCTTCACTTGCACAAGTGCCGAGGTAGGTCTCCCCTTCAGAATTGGTTTTATCTTTGTTGGAAGCACGAGTTGGGCTCTTCAAATCACAGACAAACAGTATCCCACATTCTTAATTTTTAGTTCACAAACACTTCTTGTAATGACTAACTACTGACATTTTGGAGATGTTCGCTCTTTATACAGGAAAGTTACAGTGGGATACAAATAATATCACGCTGATCCTGCCTTTGTTCCCTCGGTTCAAATCACGGACAAACAGTATCCCACAGTTGTTTATGTTTTTAAACCCATTTTGCACAGAGACGCATTTTTTGTCAAATGTATTGATAGCAATGTTGAATATTATTACACAGGAAAAAACAACTACATGTAAAATAATCACACCGTGACGCCTCTGCCTTTCTAAATGGAGGGACAGTAACTGCGTGTATACCTAAGTGTGTAAAACCTGAAGATAGTCAGATTAACAGTAACAGTATTTTGTCTCTATCTGCCAGTCTGCAATTCATCTCATGTAAACAATAATGTGCGCACAGCATGACGTGAAAAAAGGCACATACCTTCAAAACGCCGTTTACGTGTGGACGAAAGGTCCAAACGCATAGAAACAGCTGCGTTTTCAAAAAATACCCGTGTAGGTGTGGACATAGCGTAAAAGAGTTAGTAGTTTATTTTATTACTACCTGTAATTTATTGCAGTTTACTTGTATTTGCTTACTTGTTTACTAAATGTTTGAGGTGTGAAATAAACCGCAATGGAGCAAAATATGGGTGTATGTGGTTGGAGGATGTGTTTGTGCGCGCGCGCGGGGGGCGAACATTTTTCTTTTAAAACAAAGGGGGGCCTAGCAAAAAAGTTAGGGAACCACTGGTCTAATGGGTCAAAATCTTTTGGTTCCAGACTATATCTTTTGTGAGTTAAGGGCAGTAGCGGTTTTTGATACGGGCGACACGGGCGGTTGCCC